CCATCATGAAATTATTCTTTGACAATGTTAAGTGGTTAACCAATGGCCTTATATTTTTTCATGTGTATCAATCTAAGATTTGCTTGTCTAGTAAATATTGGAGAATTTTCTGCCAAATTTTTTCAAAAATGAAATGAAATTTGAATTGAATGACAGGCTTTGAAGCTAGCAGATGAGGCTGAGGAGCTTTTCATCAAACATTTTGCTGAAGATGATAAAAGAAAGGCCATGAAGTACCTTAAACCGACATTGCGAAAAGAATCACATTCTGTAACATTTTTCATTGGTGAGTTTCTTTCTTCCAATCAGTTCAAGTGCAATATTGAAAAACTGGTGACCATGAATCAGCCACTATATCAGTTCACTTTTCGAAGTGGACTACAAAGAAAGTTGCATACTGAGCCATTAAAGGAACAAAGTTTTACGTGGATTCTTAACCTACTATAATCCTCCTCTACCCGAGTTTGGAACCGGGATTGAAATATGAAGCATAAGAAGACATTCCTATAAATTAAAATAGTTCAAAATGTAGCTAGTTCCTTTTGGCTTGTGAGACACGGGGTTTTGAATATCTCTACCCCCATTAAACAAGAGAGAGGGGGAAAATATGTAATCTATCACTACCGCAAATCGTCAAGATAATAATACTGCTTCTTAAAGCCCGTTTGGCATGACTTTTGCTTTTGCTTTCACTTCCAGTAGGAGAGTTTTGGAGGAAGTCACCTTACTTTTGTTTGGAAACTAATTTTTGAAAGAATTTCCTATAACAAAAGTGCTTCTAGGTAAAGTTACATTAAATCAACTTCCTTTAAAAGCACTTTTAACTAGAAGAATCATTTTCATAAAATTAGCCAATTGGGCCCTAAATCAGGTTTTGGGTCTCTAAAGCTCATTTTAGCTTCTCAAAAGTCATGCCAAACGAGCCTTTAATATATTTAATGGTTACATGTAATCTAATCCCATGCATATTTAGTATAATTTGATGGCTAACCAATAAACATAATTGCTGTGTTATTCGTACAACTCAATAATACTAGATATTCGCTGATCTTTTGCATTTTCTTTCTGAAAAATAGGTCTATTTGCGGGGTGTTTCCTTGCTCTTTTCGTCGGATATGTTATCATGGCTCATATTACAGGAATGTATAGGCCTAAATCAGACACGTACATGGAAACTGTCTATCCTGTCCTAAGGCAAGTAAAGTTTCACTTGGTCTAATAGCGTTTGATGTATAAAAATTTCATGGCTACTAATTGAATTTCTTCTATAATTTTGCAGCATGTTCAGCCTACTGTTTTTGCATTTTTTCCTATATGGATGCACAATTTTCATGTGGAGAAAAACCAGAATAAATTATAGCTTCATCTTTGAGCTTTCTCCAACAAAAGAACTCAAGTATAGAGATGTATTCTTGATCTGTACTATATCAATGACTGCTGTAGTAGGCGTTTTGTTTGTTCATCTATCGCTTGTTGCAAAAGGCTATTCTTATGCTCAAGTTCGAGCTATCCCAGGTCTTCTTCTACTGGTAAGACACAAAAAGTTATACATTAGCAATCTACTATAACCCTCCTCTTTTATCAAGGCTTAAAACTTCGCTTCTTTGATTACAAGTCAATAAATCAATCGATTCTTTTGACAGGTTTTTCTGCTGCTCTTGGTCTGTCCATTCAACATTTTCTACAAATCGAGCCGGATTCGCTTCCTACGAGTAATAAGGAACATCGTTTTATCGCCCTTGTACAAGGTTGTCATGCTGGACTTTTTCATGGCTGATCAACTTTGTAGTCAGGTAACAAAATCACTATTACTAGCAATATATCTCACCTATCAGAACTTTTTTCAAGAACTAATTTTTGTTTTACATACACTATGAATCAGATACCAATGCTGAGAGACCTGGAGAATGTAGCATGCTATTATATAACTGGAAGCTACAAAACTCAGGATTATAAATATTGCATGAGGACAACATATTACAGAGATCTTGCTTATGCAGTTTCCTTCCTACCATATTACTGGAGGGCTATGCAGGTTTAGCATCATTCTTCGCCTTTTATTGTATTATAGATTTGATTTCCTGCCCACAATGGGAATGAGTTATTATGTCAACTATGGGTGTGACAACATGGATTTGATCTTCTGCCCATAGTAGATTGGGCAGGAGATCACTATTGTATTTTATTAATTATATTTTTTTACGGTGCTAGCCACACCCACATTGGGCATAATAACTCCTGCCCACTGTGAGCAAGAGATCACTGATATATTGTATTAATTATATTTCTTTACAATGCTATGAGATACAGTTTGCTGATATATACAATTTTATTTACAGTGTGCTCGAAGATGGTTCGATGAAGGACATAAAAGCCACCTTGTAAACCTGGGAAAATACACGTCTGCAATGCTGGCTGCCGGAGCCAAAGTGGCTTACGAGAAAGAAAAAAGTGTAGGACGGCTATGCCTAGTTGTAGTCATGTCAAGTGCTGCAACTGTGTATCAACTATATTGGGACTTTGTAAAGGATTGGGGTTTGCTTCAGTTTCATTCCAAGAATCCATGGCTAAGAGATGAACTAATTCTTCGTCGGAAATTCATTTACTTTTTCTCAGTGGTATATACCAACCCCCTCCTCCACCTTTCGTTCTTTTCAATGCTTTTCTACACTATATTATCTCAAATTTCATTATGCATCTCTCTTCCTTAATTTTGTTTCATCGAACATGTCCCTGTAGTCCATAACGAGTGCTTTCCCAGATATTACACTTACAAAATGACTCCAAATCAACCAGACACGACAATCCCTACCCCCACCCCCCCA